CAGGAATCACTGATGAGCCCAAAAGGCTGAGATGCTAGAAAAAGATTGCGCTAGCTGTCTCAATTTGCCTGCAAAAGGGGTAAAAAAATGAGGCCTAAATCATCAATATTATCATCCATATTAGTGACTAGTAGGGGGTAAATAGAGCAGAGGACCAGAGACAATGGGGAGGGAAAAGAGGAGCGGGTGAAACTGAAGGCGCGTTTGCTGGAATGGGTCAAGTAAAGCAGCAAAAAACCCAAGCCTCATGTAAGCAGATTAGTGTGTTTTGTGGTTTGTTTTTTTTTTTTAAAAAGAAATACAGCCAGTGGATAGATGATACTGATATTTTTTTCAAAAAGAACAAAATGTTTATCTTGTAACCATTTGTGTAAGCAAAATGCCGGTGTGTTTGTGTCTATGTAAGCGACTGGAGGGGTTGGTGGCTGGTAAGTGCCTGGCAGGGATGCACAGAGCCATGGGTACGATGAAGCTCGTGCCCTGTTCTGCCGAATGCCGCTGCTCTGGGGGCTGCTGGAGGGTGCTGCTTTCAAGAGTGAGTGACCACTGAGAGTAGGAAATGCTACGTGGGTCTGTGTGAAGGCACTGGTTCTCAGGGAGAACTGCTTCCCGACCTCTTCATGCCTTTCTCTGCCGACTAGTTTGCCAGTTATTTTGAATGCGGTGTGTCTAGCTGAGTAGCTGATTTGCAGTAGGAGGCAGGCGTTCTGAAAATGCCTGTGGAACCGTGAGGCTGACCTTTCGCATTCATATTTAAAAAAAACGTATTAAAAACGAGTTGTTTCTCTCCCTTAAAAAAACCATCGTGTCCCTGAAACATGCCAAACGCCAACTTTGTAATAGGCTGTTCTGGTGGAAATTGTTCAAGTGGGAAGGTGGTAAAGAATTTTATGCATCATTTAATTGGATTCATAATGACTTTTAGTACCGTTGCACAGGTAAGTGAAAGAACAGAGCACAAATCATTCTCCTGTAAGCTGCGTGATGTGGAAGAGCCGAGTTAACAATCACAGACTCTGCGTACGCTAAGGAAAGGGACTCACCTGTTCCCTTCCCAAGTGTTGCTTCGATATGCATCAACTGTGGGGTCTAAATGAGCTCTTTGGAATGGGTAAGAGCGAAAATGTTTGGTGCCTGATTTAGGAAACGGCTTGAAGCAGATACCACTGTTCAGAACATCTTCAACCATCGAGTAGTCCAGTGTGGGAATTAAGGGCCTTAGTTTTACAGCTTTCTTAGCCCAGTGCTGTTTATTAAATGCAGGCAGTCACAATGCCTTGGAAATATTTTTGATCATTCCACCAAATTCTTGAAAAGTGTAAAAAGAATAATCTCAAATTTTAATGAATTCTGAATGTTGCGTTTGTGTGGGTAGCTTACTATCTGTTACTACCATATTTTATTTAATTATTTTTTTCCCCCCCTCCACTTAGTGCATGGCTGTCTGGCTATGAAAGCCCGGTGGTATCTCGCATCAACACGAGGATACAGGATCTAACAGGACTTGATGTCTCCACAGCAGAGGAACTACAGGTAAGCTGGCCAAGTACGGTGATGCAGGTCGGTTGGCGTTCCGTTTCGGATGGCTCCATGCGCAGTGCCCTGCTCGCTCTGGTAGTATTGGTGAGGTGGCCACAAAAGCTCATTCAGGCCAGAGGCAGCTGATGGGTTTCCAGGCCATGGAAGGAATAAACACATGGGTGCGTGGAGTTGGTTGGTTGTGGGGTTTTTTGGTGGTTGTTTCTTCCTCTCTGTTAAAAAAAAAAAGTTTTCTTTGCGCTGAAGTCCCTTACTTTAGTGGGAAATGGTTTTCTGTTGCTGGAGGGAAGCAGTACTAACTGAAACTCCTCGTGTTTGTTGAAGTGGATGGTGTCGTTGCTTTTTATTTATAGTAAAAAAAAGAAAAGCTGAATTTCATTGCTACAGGGTCAAACTTTGCTTCTGTGGTGATAGCAATAAGTTTAGTTTGACTGGTAATTAAGGGAAGGGGGATAAAATTGGTCCGAAATTGGTCCGTAGTCTAGCAGCATACCAGCCCATCTTTGGCCCTAGGCACCAACAGTGTGTGCAGTATCTCTGCAACAGGACAAGGACTGCCTGTACATGTACCTTTTAGTACATTTTGTCCTAGAAGTATGCACTTACCTTAATTTTCTCGAGGCTTTTAAATGAACAGCTGCTTCACTGATTCTGAGAAAGCCTAGAAATAATAATAATGCCTAGAAAGCAGGACAAAGTGGTTCCTGAAAGCTGTTGTGCTATTCCATCAAAGACTTCTGATGATAAGAAGCCCAAGCATCCCATTGAAAATTGAGGTTATGAATGCATAGAAGAGGTAGAAAAAATCAATCAGCAAAAAAGGACAGCGGATCCTCTTTATTGGCAGAGATGAAAAAGTTGATTTAAGCTTGAATGATGCAGAAGTGCCGTGACCTATTTTGAAGAGAATGTAGCTGGTAAAATTTCTATAGAAGGAAAACATTTTCTTACCCCAGGAAAGTACCAGATCCCTTACCTGGAGCACCCACATCTTGGAGGTCTTCAGGAGTTTCAAAAGTATCCCGGTCAGGTTCTGTAACTTGAGCTAGACAGCGGCAGGCACTCAGAAATGGTTGCAGGTGACAGTCAAATTCTTTTCTGGATAAAATACTGCTTTACTAGATTTTGTGCTTCTCCTTTCACTGTAGGTAGCCAACTACGGCGTAGGAGGCCAGTATGAGCCTCACTTTGATTTTGGAAGGGTAAGTCCTGTTTTCTGTCTCCATCTCTTTCTTCTTCACAAGCGCTGTGTTTCTCTTTTTCAGGTGGCAAATTATGGAGTGGGAGGACAGTATGAACCCCACTTTGACTTTGCACGGGCAAGTAAAGAGATGGAGGAGAGATAGTCACCCGGTGAAGCCTGGGCCTCTTAGCTGTGGCACAGTTTTTGTTCTTTAATGTGTATTACAGTTTGTAGCTCTTCAACTTTCCTAATCACGTTAGTGGAGAAAGTCCTCTAAACCACCAGCTGAACTAACAGACGCTTTGGACATTACAGAACAACAAGATGCTTTCTTCAAAAATAGGATTTGAAAAGAATTGTTCGAAGGAGATGACTGATAGTTCTTAAAAGAGAAAAGGGCAGTAGCCTTATTCTGAGGAGACATTTAGAAATATTCTGGCCATGTAAAGCCAAATGTAAAGGATATACAGCTAAACCATATAAAAACGCGGTGTATATCCTGTGCTCCTGACACACGGAGCACGCAGTGGTGGCATCAGCTAACGTGTGTCTGGGCACTGAGGCTGCTCTAGCGGTGTGCAGGGCACAGAGCGTTGCTGAGCGATAGCTCCGTGCCCTCCGCTGTGAAAAGAGCCTTTGTAGGCAGCGTAGGAAAACTTGCATTGCGGCTTTCCGTGTCGGCCTGTGGTGCAGAGGGAGAACTGCTTTCCCCTGAGCCATTACATGGGTATCTTGCGTGTGCTGTTAAAGAAATTTTGAAAATATAAGTGCTCTGTTATTGCAGCTTACATGCTGGTTGCCAGCAGATTCCTGAACTGGAGAAAGCCTATGTGTCCTCTCATTTCACCGGCCTTATTTTTAAAAAAATTATTTAAATTCCCTACCTATTTCTGTTCCAGCTTAAACTGTGAACTGCTGGAAATGATATCACTGAATTCAGTTGGTTATTTATGGGACACCTTCAGATTAACCTTACACTGTGAATCCAAGCCACTCACTATTAATCAGAATCTCTGTGCTGCAAGCACATGCTTGAAAGCATTGCAGATGATTAACAAGTTTTTGTATGGAAATGCATGGGTTAATTTCCAAGTAAAAATTGCCAGGATTGTAGCACACACACAAATAGTGCTCACAGAGGTGGCTTCTAGAAGTAAAAATACAGGTGTTAGAAAAGTTGTTATCTTAACCCATCGTAACATGGTCTTGTTGTTGTAAGCCAAGAGGTAAAAGGCTGTTACCAAATTGCTCTTTTGGCCCGTGAGGGGCTCCTGCACTCGGCTCCCTCCCCTCCTTCCCAGCTGGAAGGAAAGCAGGAGGTTAAGGTGCTGGAGCCCAGCTGGGCTGGCGGTGTCGAAGCCATGACACCCACGTGCTCCCGTGTTTCGGCAGGGATGTACCTCGCTCCTGCCAGAAGCGACAGGACGGGTGCCAGAGCCGCTCCGCGCCCTGAGGAACTGCTCCTTGGATTTTTTTTTAAGGGCACTCAAACTCCTGTGCCCGCTGGAGGAGGGTAGCCAGGGCGGGCAGTGGCTGAAGAGCTGCCCTCACAGTTGTTCATCTTGGCCAAGGATGAGAGGGGAGTCAGTGTAATTAAATAATTAAATTTGTGGCCACGGAGAGGATTTATAGACTCATTTTCGGAAAGCACAGTTCTTAGCCATTTGCCATTTGGGCATAGGCCTTCACAGTCCTACAGAATTTCAAAATGCCTGGTTTAAATAAATAAATCGATACACTCAGATCGCATTTTCCCCTCCTTCTGAGTAGAGGGATTAAATTAGTTTTTCTGCATGAGTTTGTCTGCTGCTGGCTCTGCAGCTGTGTATCACTGGCTCCTCTCAATAATCGAACTGAACTGCTTATTAAATCTGCTTGCTTTTATTCACAGAAAGATGAGCCAGATGCTTTTAAGGAATTGGGAACGGGCAACAGAATTGCTACTTGGTTGTTTTATGTAAGTGTTATATTTCTGCCATGTGCCAGTGCCGAAAATATTTATCACCACATATTCTATACCACTGAAAGATTTCATTACATTTTTTTTCTGAAGTGACTCAAAAGTGAAGGCAGTCACTAACTTAGTGGTAACAGATACGGGCTGTCTTGTTACCCATGACTAGTGGTTCTTCCATGTGTTCTTAAGGAGGAATTTTTTCTTTTCTGCCCTCGGAATTGAGCATCAACTTAAATTATCTGACAGTCTGTTTTTATATCTGCATTGGTATTTACAGCACGCTCGTTATCAAAGCGTACGAGATATCTGGGGCAAGGCTGGCTGTTGCGCTTTGAACAGAGTGGGTGGGTTTCAGCCTTTTTTAAGGCTGCTAATTACTCACTAATTGGAGGTAGAAATGAAAATGTGCAATAACCTAATTTTGACTAAAACTTGAGAATGTGTGAGCTTGTGGCTAACCTGTGCGTTTCCCCCCCCTTGTAGATGAGCGATGTGTCAGCAGGGGGAGCTACTGTCTTTCCCGAAGTAGGAGCCAGTGTGTGGCCTAGGAAGGTAAGCGGGGATTTTTATCCAGTGGCACCACCCCTCTCTCCACCTATGGCAAAACATAACACGTGTATAAACATTTAAGAAGCAGCTTTAAAATGAGTTTATGTAAAGAAGTGGGAGCACAGAGGTGAAGCAACTGGGGTAGTACTGGTGATTCCAAAGGCCTCTGATGTTCTGCTGGTTAAGGTGTAGTTACATTTTGACTTACCTGATACGTAGCCTTTCATGACAGTACTTCAAAGCACATTTTGAAAATACTCAGATCTGTAAGTACATTGAGGCATCTCTAGGGAATTATCAGTGAAACTGTATTCTTGTTATGTTTTTTTCCCTCAGAGGGGTCACAGATAAGATCTCTCTTTGCTGGCCTGCTGCTCATTTTTAGTACCATTGTCTTGCTTTCTAAAACTGGTCAGGATTGAATTGGAAGTGTCTTATGGGTGAAAAAGATTAGCAGCCAAGTCTGTGTAGATGCAGAATGAGTCAAAGGAGACTCATTCCTTAAGAAAGCAAGTGTGAGAATATGGAGAAGAGCTTTCAGTTTAAAAGGAACGTCTGAAGTACAAGTATAGTTACCTTTGCCATGTTGTTAAGTTGGAGCGAAAAGAGTGCATTGCGCAGAGTGACGTGCTGAGGGTTTCCACTGGTGTTTCCAGGGCACAGCTGTCTTCTGGTACAACCTCTTCCCAAGCGGAGAAGGGGATTACAGCACGCGGCACGCAGCCTGCCCGGTGCTAGTTGGGAACAAATGGGGTAAGTGCCCCTCGGGTTCTTCTCGTTGCCTGTGACTTGGAGAGCTGGGGCTTTACTGGTGGGTTGTCTTGGTTTTCTTTTTCCTCTGGACTCTTGGGGTGGAATAAAAAGCAAACAGAAATTAGGTTCTAGCAGTCTAGGCTATAGAATCATAGGATTGTCAGGGTTGGAAGG